TAGGTGCCACCTTCTGGCAAGAAATCTGCAGGGACGTCGCCCCATGTGTAGAGGTTTGCTCCACCACTGGCTGGCTTCGAAGTACCATCATTGGCTACACCGGCCACAGGCAATTTTGCTCCGTCACAGTCTTCCGACATGGTGAGTGCTAGCCGGTGACCGTCTCGAAGATGAAACCCACTTAGTGGAACGGAACAAGCCTTGCCTGAAGTGCATCGAAACTGCTGGTCGCCCTGCGGACGAATGCACAAGTCTTCAATCCAGGAGCCGGGATTCTCTGTAGTGGATCCGGACCGGCAGGCTTGACAAGTTGCATCCGAGGCAGCACCAATGGCACCACTCCATGTCCCAGCTGTGCAGTTGCTACACGGCAGGTTGCCAATGCCACTCTTGTATTCACCTGCTGCACAAGGCGTGCAGACCTCATCCAACAGAAACGTTCCTGCGGCACACATGCAGTGAATGCGATCGCTGGCAACATCCACGAGCGTTGTTTGAGACGCTCCACACTTCTCCCGGTGCAAGCCTCCCATGCAAAAAAAGCCAAAGCCACAGGGCCCACATTGTGAGGGGCTGCTGGAAGTATTTATAAATCCCGGTGCGCATGTGCAGAAACTCGATGCCACGGCTCCGGCCTGCGATGTCGTGGAGCCATATGGACACATTCGGCACGTGGCTTCCTGCATATAATGTCCAGCCTCACACAGGCAATTCGAAAAATCACCTTGGCTGCATCAGAAAAGCCGGAGTCACAGTTACACATACTCTTTCCGTGGCTACAACTTCGGGCGTCCTGAGGAATGGGCTGGATCCAGCCACTGCAGTGCTCCCGGCTGGGCAGCTCTCAACACGGTGGCCATCGGGGCAAAACGAGTCTGCTGGGCAGATCACACACGAACCCCCAAACTCATGACGCCCTGGAGAACAGTGGACTTGCAATTGAAATGCCACCGCTTGGTAGTCCTCTGACGATGCACATGGACGACCTTGTGGGCACCAACACAACTGCAAAGTCTCTGGTACGCCATTCAGATGCAGCTCCCCCAGCTCCACCGTGAAGGCATCGATGGTACGATCGACGCGGCGAACAGCACTCTCGTGGCGAAAAGTCATGGATGCATTGGGGGATCCACACTGACTCACGGCGATCAGACTGTCATTCACCGACAAGCCCACGCCGCGCCAGGACGCAAAGACACAGGGCCGACCCATAAAGCAATGCAGAGTTTGGTTGGGATAGGGACCCTCACTGATGAAGAAGCCAAAGGCTGAGGTGAAGTCACTGGGCTGATCACATCGCGAAACATTAAGGAAACAGGAGCAGAACCTGTACCATCCAGGTTCTACGTGGAGGCGGCGCGAACCAGTCATGTCATCTATGAATGTGAAGCTCTGGCCATCCGAACTCACAGCTGAAGCCAGTGACTCTGAATCCAAGCATGATCGCTTCACAGAAATCCACACATCAGGAAGCGGGGCATCCATCACAAAAACGCAGTCTTGGCCTACAGGGCACTTCGCTACTGCTCGTGATTGCTCAGTCGAAGGGAACCGCCAGAGGTCGTCGAGATACGCTGCACCGAAGCCTCCAAATGTCATAAGCGCACTGGAAGCCTCGTCCCATACACCTCGTGGGTCTGAACGCGGGGAGGGGCCGACCGTCGTTGCAAGCTCTGACCAGGCGTCCGCCAGCAAGTCAAACCTGGGTAAGCGATCCGCGAGAGGGAGAGGCTGGAGCTTCGTGGGGCAACGGCACATGAAGATGCGTCCAGGCAGCCGGTACAGTTTGCCATCGTAGCTCAAGTCGCCACTGACGTTTTGAACTCCAGCAAACGCGAGCATGGACATGGCACCCGGCTGCCAGACTGCCACATGTCGAGCCCTCGCAAACGGGCTCCCTGCGGGCAAGAGCTCCCACCACCGGTCCGCCCATGAGTCATACACGTGAAGGTCCTGTAAGTACGCACTGCCACTCCAGCCGGCGAAGACGAGCATGGACCTTGTCACCTGACTCGGCGACAACAAAAAAGAAGGACCAAGGACACCTAGCCACAGACCTAAGCAAGCATAGGCAAAGCGGAAGCACAGCATGTCGCGTCACCCGATCCCAGACCGCAGAGTGCCAACTCCTTGGCGCTGGGCCTGAAGCAGCGACGCTCCAGACCTCGGCCGAGGTCTGAGATTCACGACTCAGTTTCTGCGATTTAGTTAGGGCCCCAAGGTGTATGTTGGTTCCCGCCTCGTGGCTCAAACTGCACCTGACGAGATCACCCAAAGCTGTGCCATTCTCGCCTCCGAACACCAACATCGCACCAGAATCGACGTCCCAAACGGACGAGTGGTGGGCACGTGCTGCTGGCGTCATCTCGAACAGAAGCTGCCGCCAGGTCCCCACGGTGCCCAGCTCTGCCTGGTATTGCCAAAGTTCATCAAAGTGTCTACCGAGGTGGACACCTCCGAAAAGGAGCATCGATCGACTTCCGCCGTCCCACACGGCGGAGTGGCCTTGCCTGGCGGTCGTGTATGTGGTTAGTTACCCTGCAGGCAAACCCTGCGCTCTCTGTTGCCAATACCTTGAGAAAGACCTTCCAGTGCTCCCTGTGCTGCCTCCTCTTTCGCATTTCCGGGCACAACAATGGTGCAGCTATCAGGACGACTTACGGACAAGCAGCTCAAGGCACCATACACCGCGGACAGAGTCAACGTGGCAAGTTGTTGCGTTACGCTCCCTCTAGGGCAGTGGCCAGACCCTTGGGAGAGTTCACGTTTGAGAACTCTTGCGTCAGTGCAGGCCTCGTTGATGGACCACTGGCTGATAATAAGGTCCAGGCTCGGGAAGGCCAGTGATATTGCCAGAGGTCCTGAAAGTAATCGAAGCTTCGGCCAGCCTCCCCCCCAAAGATGAGAGCGGCTTGCTTCTCCGCATCCCAGACCATACTATGCCCATGCCGGGCCCTTGGCCCTGCAGCGGTGTAGTCGACCCAATCATCCCAGCTGCACTGCACTCCTGCTCGGAGGCTTGCCACTGGAGCATTTAACATGTTGCGCAAAAGACGCTTTACAGAATCAGGAATTGTACCCCTTAAGGGCATCACCCCTGATGCTGCCATCTGACGGTGCATGCGTTTGGTCCGCAGAACTCAAATCTTCGCGCCTGCGGCTTCCTGTGGCCTGCAGTCATGGATCTGCCATCCCCGGAATGAACAATCACCAAGACTCAGTTCTGTGCCATTGCAACTGATGTCATCGATAGCGAAGGCAGAATTGTTGAGCACGAAGAAGGAAGTCAAAGGTGTGCCCCCAGCCAGGCCCAAGTCCTGCCGCGACAACCGTTTGTTTTTGAGCACTAGAGAGAGAGGGGGCAAGGAAGGTTGTGAGGGTGGGTGCCACCGGGCAGAGCCTTAACGCTGTTGGACCTGACAAAGGCCCCAGATCGCCTATGTCACGCAGAAGTTTGGGATTTGTCAACCGATGTCAAGCGCAACTCCCACGGGCTCCTAACGAACTAGCTGCAGCTAGCTTTGGTGAATTTGAATGATGGGCTGACGTCCGGGTTTCCTCTCCAAACTGCCCGGAGTTCGGTCCCAAGCAAAAGTGGACTGTCCTTGCAAGCCACGATGGCCGCCGCCGCATCAAAGCCATCATCGCAAACCGGTGACCAAGTGCCCTCACGCAGCACTTCGAGGAAGCCCCAGGTCCTGGAGCCTCCCGACAAGCGAATGGACTCCAAGCCTTCGGCCCTTGGAGTCCGAGTCCTGAAAAGCCGGGGCACCACTGCTGCTCCATCCTCTGCCGACTCCTCGCCCACCGGCACCCCTAACTGGCCATAGAAATTCGCACCGAAGCAGGAGATGGCGCCTCCGCTCTGCACAAAGCAGCTGTGCCCATCGCCCATCGACAGGCTTTCCACCTTTCCAACGAGCACCTGTCCGGGGCTTTCGTAGACAGGGATTGCAGTGCCTCGCCCAAGCTCCCGATTGCTATTGCGACCCCAGCACAGGGTTCTCTCATTCTGCAAGATTGCGCAGGAATGATGCGGACCCACAAAGATCTGTGTCGTCGGAAAGCCGAGGTCAACATCCGCTGCCTCGTGGACCTCCCGACTCACGGTGTCACCAAGACCAAGCTGACCGTATGTATTGTCACCCCAACATCGCATGCGTCCGTCTGCCAGACGGACGCAAACATGCGCTGTGCCTGCTGCGATCTGCGTCGCCTCCAGCTCGAAGCCGATGGTCGGAAGCGAAGAAACGTTGCGGACAATTTCCATACTAGGGAGCTGCCGTCCCCAGCAAACCACCCCCTCAGAGGAAAGGGCGCATGAAGTGTAGGGACCCACGGTGACCTGGGTTGCTCTGAAACTGCCCAGATCCAAACCGGGCAGCGCATCTCCCATCTGCCAGCTCTGCTCTCCACGGTTCCTTGCAGTAGCCACAGGATGCCACAGGTAAAGAAAGCAAAAAGCAGGCTACATGAGCCACCGTCCTTCCTTCTCTAAGCTGAGGTCCCGGCATGCTGTCTCCTAAGCCCAGCTGCCCATCACCATTATACCCGAAGCACTTGATGGCACCGTCATAGAGTAGAACGCAGGTGTGCCAGGCGCCACAGGAAACCTGGCTCGCCTTTGTGCCATTGCCCAGATCGACAGCAGGCAGCCAGTCCCCCATCTCGTTGGGATCATCACCGAGGGTAGCCGTGGTTCCAGAACCTATCTGTCCATCAAAGTTCAACCCCCAACACTTCAGGGAGCCACCTTGAAGAACCGCGCAGGTGTGCCAAGCTCCGCCACAGGCCTGTAAGACCGTACCCCCAACGTCCACCACCGGCAGTTGCAGACCGACCTCTTCCTGGTCATCGCCTACGTCGTCGGAACTGCCATAGCCCAACTGCCCCTCGCTGTTCCTCCCAAAGCATTTGAGCTGTCCGAAAGCCAGAGCGCACTGATGATTGTGCCCAGCAACTAGGACCATGGCTGCCGGCATGGCATGCTCGTGAGAATACAGAATGACATCGTCAACTGCGATGTCGGAGGAACTGTAAGCGGGCATATAGCCCCTGAGGCGCACACGATTAACTGTTGCTGGCAAGCGCAGCTTGACTTGCTGCCAACCCACCCCTCGCTGGCCGACCTCGGACCAGCTCTCCTGCCAAAGGCCATTGCTCCACATCTCCACCCGCAGACTGGGTGCCCACCCTGACATCCAGAAGGCAAAGGCGAGGTAGGCCACGTCGGCACTTGGGAGAAGCGGACTTGTCAAGAGCACCTGCACAGGGACATGAGTGAGATGCTCAGAAAGGAGGCATGGCCTACGTTTCTTGTGAATTCACAAGGCACCTCTGTAGCTGTACCAGTCATCCAGTCCTGCCATGCAGAGGCGAATGCCTGGCCGTCTCGCTGCCAGCCCTCCTCTGTCCATTTGCAAAACCCTTCCTCGAAGTCGCACCCGGCATCCTCGAGGCTGTGTGCAAATTGCGCCGCTTCTAACTGGAAGGAGCGGATCTTCACCAGATCTGTCGTGCTGTTCATGGTCGCCAGCAGTCGCAGTGACTGTGTTTGCACCGAGATCGGGCCCGTGAGCTGCTGCCAGGAACCAAAGGAGGCGATAGCTGTGGTCTGGAGATGCGTCCAACCGTTCTCGGTGAGCTGCTGCACCTCCAGGGCTGCCGTGGGTCCCACCAGTTGGAAGCTGAGAAAAAACGCGGCCTCGGAACTCACGTTGCGGATCTGAGCACTGTCAAGTATAGCTGTATGGCTCTCGGCGCCCCTGGCTTCCAAACCGATGTGCACCACTCTCCACATGGCCCTGCTGGGACCAACAGTGCCGGGCTCTATGACAGGCTCTAACCAAAAGCTGTTGACCTGAAAGTCCTCACAAGCCAGGTCCTCCAGCGCGACAGCTGTGCGGAATGCCCGAACTGCCAAGTCTCCGGTTTTCCACGCTTCCAGGGATCCTTGAAAACGTAAGCCCGTGCTGGTGGAGGGGATATGTGCCGCGCCTTGATGCCAAGAATTCCCCCGACTGCCAAAGAGTGACCAGACAGCAGTCCAGTCCTGACCATCCCAAGCCTGTAGCTGCAAGCTGCCGAAGTCACTGTCCAGGCTGTACATGAGGTAGTCAAAATATATACCAGAGCCCCAGGAATAAGAGGGGCTCTGCAAATGGAATTCCTGCAGGGAACCACAGAGGCACTCAGGTGGATCGGCACGCCGCCCACAAGGCAGCAATTTCGAGTCACAGCACAGTTGTCTGGGGAATCACTTTAGTTCAGATGTTGTTAACTACACAGAACCTATGTAAGGGATCGCAAAATTGATCTAAATCAGTAGAACCCCTGTCACATGTTAAGCTACCGAAATAGTCTGGTGTCTTTCCGACCTGCGCTGCACGTGACAGTGCAGGGCTTCCAACTAGCCGGCGTCAGAGAAACCATCAGAAAGCACAGGAAAACTCTGAACGTTTGCATAGCTCAGGCCTTTGGATCGCCACGGTCGGTGACATACATCGCAGTCAAGTAGAACCCGTCATAAAATGTCTTGGTCCTGTGTATAAGAAAATAGGGTGTCTCGTCGAGCCACCTGTACCCGCTCGAATAGCACCAGCTTTGCCATGTTCCAGACAGTGGGGGCGTAACATCGTCGCTGTAAGCGAGGCTCCAATAGGTGCACCTTCCATCTCCGTCCAGATCTTGGGAAGCAGTGAGCGATGGAATGTTGTTGTCGAAAATCCACTGTGGCGAATCCCAGTTGCCATCACAGCTGGGGTCGTGGTACAAGTACAGGTTGTCAGATTGCTTGTAGTAGGCCCGTCCACTGCGTGTCTGACCCTGCAAATAGTACGTGCCATCTATGTTGTTGCTGCAGCTGTTGATATAGAACTCCAGGACCACTTCGCTGACCTCGCAGGCAGGCATGAACATGGATCCCATGACAGACATCCGAGAATAGACGCAGCCCGAACCTGGTCAACGGTGGCCGTGGATGTCCAGTTGCATGCAGCAGCCGGAGAGCTGCATTCAACGATGGGAACTGCCGCGGCTGCTTGCACCTTGTCTATTGCTATATCGCTCTCGAATCCTGTCCCGGTCATCCCCAGGAAGCGAAGTGCTTGTGCATCATCCGGCAGTCTCACGAGAGCATCATGCCATCTGTCGCCCTGGTTTCCGGATAGCGACCATACTGTGGTCCAAAGCATGCCGTGCCAGAATTGCAGTGTCAGCTGGCCCATGTGGAACCCGTACATGTGGTGGTGGAAATATACATATCTCGCTGCACCGTCACCCTTTCTGAAAATGGGACTTTCCAGCACAAACTCCTTTGCAGATCACAGGCACGACAAGCACGGCACAATGTTGCTGTTCCGGCTGCGCCGGTATTAACATGAGCCGTCTCAGTGAAGTACGCAGAAATGGCGGCACGACACAATACTTTCGGAATCTCCTTTACTCTTTAACATATTGCTTCCGGTTTGTTGGCAGATGTCTCGTAGGCCGCCTGCAGCAACAAAATGCATACGGACACTGGACAAGCAGCAAACCAACACGCCCACCCTAAGTTCAAGAGGAGAGGGTCCAAGATTTGGTGAAAGTGTGGCGCTGTAGCGATGTCGTATGATGTCAGCGATGCACTGATGATCTCAGCTCCTCCTTTGGATGTAAAACTGAGGCCATGAAGCTGTCAAAATCAAAAGTAGAACAGCATGTCTGTCGAAGTTCTACCAATCAAACGACATGTGTATCCATCATGGTGTGAAGTGTACACCGTGTACAACACCTGCCCACAGTCAATACCGACACATGGGCAGCATGGTCGGATGAGTGTGCGACATGTTCGACAAGTTCACGGAGTCTGAACCCGAATGATCTGGGCCCGCGGATTCAAGTCTGTGGGGGATGAGACTGAAAATTGGTTGGGGAACCACTGCTCTCTGAGACGCAGGGGACTGGGGAAACACAGGGTCAACTGTCGATGTGGTCGGGGCCGATGTGGTGACACTCTACTATAAGGGTTTCAACTGACCAGGAGCGTCGTGGCGACATCCACATTTTTTGGCTCAGAGGAATACCTGCAAACGAAGGTCCTGCAAGACTTTGGGGGACGTGATCAGTTGAAGCCTCATGAAGCTCTCAGGCGGAGCCCTGACATGAGCCCACGCAGGAGACCTCCTTCGCAACCTCGCTCCCTGGCCCCATCTCCGTCGCAATTCTCAGCGTGGATCTTTGTGCGAGCGAGTGCCCTTCAACCGATTCTGACCAATCCGACAACGGATTCTGCGGCCCTTGCATCAAAGCACGAGCCTCGCAGTATCAACAGCACTTGTCAGGTCAATCGTGGCTACAAAGCTTCTCATCCAAGGCATACTGTCTCACGCGTCTCTCCTGTACAAAGGTTGCACGCAGGTCCCGACCTGGCCGAAGCTACAGGACCACACGAAGGGATGTACGAAAAATACCCTGAAGATCGTATATGCTGCTACACACACTTACGAAATCAGGGATCTGCTACCAGTCCGCCCGATGCTCGCAAGCCAAGCCAGAGAAAGCGCAGAAAGCTGTGCTTTCTTGTGCACCCTCTTGTAAATCTCCATGCTTGGCCCCCCGCCTTGTTGGGATGATTCGGCAAAGTCGCCTCTACGTATATGTAGTGGGCACCATCGAATGCTCCTGAGGGTCCTGTGCCAGTGCTTGGTGTCGTGCCAGTTCTCCGCATCCAAGCCTCCACTGGTTAGACACTGCACTGCCCCGAGGAGCCGGCTGCATTTTGGAAAGATGCCGCTAGGAGATCAGAAAATGCCTGTTGTCACTCCAAGCCCTCGAGCTGAGCTTATTTACGATCTTCTTTTGTTCATGCGATCCTTTTCGGATTCAAGCTTAGGGTTCGTCCCCGGTTTTGGCACCCTAAATCTGAAGCAGAGGTCCCTAACCCTAAACCTTTTTGGCATGACAGCAAGCAAACCAATGGAAAGTGCGCGCCTGGTCGTTCATGGCTCTCCAGCTGCAAAAGTCGGCCTCAAAGCTGCAGGCCACCGTATCCTGGGCTATTGTTAAGGGATTTAATTTCAGTTGCCAGATCTATAGTAAATAATACGGTTTCTGGATACTGGTAACTTAAATCCCTTAACAAGAACCCAGTATCGTAGTTCGGCAATTCGGTGGGCGTTGAAGAGACATTGGACGTCTGCAGCGAATCTACAGCTAAAGCCACCGCCACCTCGCTTTCATAACCGTTCCTCGTGATCCCGAGGAAGCGCAATGCTTGCGCATCATCCGACAATCGTACGTCAGCTCGATTCCAGACACGGCCCTGGCCACCAGGCGGTGACCACACTGTGGTCCAGTTCGCGCCATCCCAAGATTGAAGCATCAAGCGGCCCATTTCCACCGTATAAATGACGTAGTGAAAATTTACGTGCCTCTCTTCGCTGTCACCTTTTGCGAACTCGGGGCTCTCAATTGCAAACACCTGCACATGAAGGGATGGGATGCATCTCACTGCACAACATATGTCGGCACGCTCATTTATGATGTTGTCTGTCTTTGTGCGTGGGTGTGTGCGGGTGTGTGTGCGAACGAATGTATGAAGAAGCATGTATGTATACATACACATAAACACGCACGCACGCACAGGCACACACGCACACACACACACACTTACTTTTTTTGCTTTGCAAGGATACGCATTGTCGGTTGGATTTAGTTATTCATTGGTGAAATATGATGAAGTTGGTAATGGTGATGATAACGAAAGTGAAAGTGCAATGACGCGTCGCGTCATTGCACTTATGAGATGAAGTTTTGTGCCAAATATGCCAGACCAAAAGAATGGCACACGAAAACAGGATGAGATGATTCGTGTGAAAGCACGGGTCCTGCCATCGCTGTGTGAGACGACAAAATCACGCTGCACGAAATGAGATGAAGATGAAAATGAGGATGAGGGTCCCGCCAGCTGCCCACGCAGGGGCCCAGGCGCACACCTATGCGGGTACGTTTGCCTCGGGTGCAGGGGAGAGCGTCGTTGGACGGAGCTCCCCTGCACCCTCTCGGCCCCCTGCAGAAAGATGGAGAATGACCTCCTCTAGTCCATGAACGTGGAACGTTCACGCACATTGCCCCTGGTTTGGGGCGCAGAAAGCCAAGGGGGATTGGTGCTGAAGCACTAGCAGCTAGCACTTTACTGCAAGACACTTTACCGCGATAGACCTCATGGCGGATGCCCATGCGCTCCTGTGCGCAGGCAGAATAGTCGCAGGCAGAATAGTGAAGAATCATGGAAGTACGAATAGGCGAGACAGACTAGCCGGCGGAGGTAGCAGCTCGCGCACCGAACAGTCAGCTGCATTGGCAGAGGACGTCCGGTGCAAAATCACTCATGTCCCACCCTGTTCGCGGCTGAGAAGGGTCCCATACACTCAGATGAAGGTACCTTAAGCCTCGAATCGGGTGACCCAAATACCTATAGCGAGAACAGAGGTGAAGGGAAGAGCGAGAGAGAGGGAGAGAGAGAGAGAGCAAAAGAAAAAACAGCCCGAAAGGCGTGAAACGCTCGATCCCATTCAACGAGGACTTCTTCCGATGGAGACCACCACGGCGCCGTCACGGAAAGCCGTTGTAGACACACTTTGAAAGGATACACATTGCCGGTTGGATTTAGTTATTCACTGGTGAAATATGATGAAGTTGGTAATGGTGATGATAACGAAAGTGAAAGTGCAATGACGCGTCGTGTCATTGCACTTATGAGATGAAAGTTTTGTGCCAAGTATGCCAGACCAACGGAATGGCAAATGAAAACAGGATGAGATATCCTCGCTGTGTGAGACGACAGAATCATGCAGCACGAAATGAGATGAATATGAAAATTTGAGGATGAGCGTCCCGCCAGCTGCCCACGCCGGGGCCCAGGCGCGGATCTATGCAGGTACGTTGTTTGCCTAGGGTGCAGAGGAGAGCTTCGTTGGACGGAGCTCCCCTGCACCCTCTCCGTCCCCCTGCAAAAAGATGGAGAGCGACCGCCCTTTGTCCGTGAACGAGGACTGTTCACACAAACACACACACACACACATCGGTATAAACATGCATACATGCACGCATGCAGGCGTACGTTTTCAAGGAGCCTTCCGCTCCACACACTCAGAGAGGGAGGTCAACAGTGCAGGCCAAGAGGTCCAGCCACCCCCGGTTTCTGGAAAACCACACGGTTTCAGAGCAGCCGAGCTGATACGCAAACGAGGCCCAGTGGGAGGTACAAGGCAAGGGGCGGGGTGAAGCAAAGCACAGGGAAGGTTGCAGGCAGCACACAGTCGAAACAAAGCCAAGGAGTGGGCGATTGGCCGTGTACTGGGGCCTCGGGGCCTGGCTCCCCACGGCTGGGAGCGGCTGCGCCGAGAAGGCCCGCCAACACCAAAAGCACCTCTCGGAGGCCCAATGAGGATGGCATCAACAAGGCCCTGCTCAACTAATAGCAAGATGGAACACCGACTCGACAAGCATTGGAGAGCACCAATCGTACTCGGGCGAACTGATAGACCAGCCTGAAGAACGGAGATGAGCGAAGCAAGCTGGCTTTGCCGGCGCCGATCTGAAGGAAGTGGAACCGAAGAGCAGGGGCACGCTTAGTCTGAACGGCGGGGGCTTCCGAAGCTTCCTCGTAGAGATGGTCGACGCGGCGCAAAGCGGCCTTCTCTCTCGTGAGCACCCGGCCGCCGTTGGAGGCGACGTGGTGGGCATTCCACAGAACCCGAGAAAGAGGCGCGGGCAAGTGGGCCGATACAGCCCCTGCAGAATCCGGAGAATCACTTGCATAGATTTCGTCCTGCCAATGGGCAGAAACGTCACACTTGATAAGACGGCACAAGGCCGCAAGCAAAACCAATTCATCGGCAGCAACGGCACGGAGGAGGAGACAGAGGGCAGAGGAGGCCGGAGTGACAGTGGGTGGAGGCATCAACAAGGCCATATGCACGCTGAAGCACTGACACGAGGTGTCCGAAACATGAGAGCCGAAGTCCATCCTTCGAGGAAGCTAAGAGGAAGGTGGTCTGTGATGAAGGTGGTCTGTGAAGAGAGCAGGCCTCTAAGGTGATGGTGCAAGGCCGATTCTTTTAGCGACCGCGCCGACGAGGGCAAGGGTGCACAGCAGGCTCGCGAGACGTCGAGCACATCTCTCACTGGAACCTATAAAATAAGCCCGACGTGCTCATAGATCTCCTGGGATTATGGATGGCCATCAGCGCCAAAGGAGCAACAGAGCTTGAAACCGAGGAACAGGAAATTGCGTAGTAGTCATCGATGACAAGGCCGTCGACAAGGCTCTCCTTTCCGCCTCTAGAAAAGAGGCGGGAACCAAGGATCCGCGTCTTCCTTTCCAACAGGCCGCCCTCGAAAACAAGGCATGGGCGCTTGTGACTTGTGGCGAGCTCGACCCCTGCGTGATGGCTCCAAATGCAAGGTAGAGCTCGGAGGGCTTTTCAGAAGCACAGAGCCCGCCTCCTCTTTCGAAATCGACAAAAGCCTTGATCCCTCTTAGGAGGTGCACTGCAAAGCGGGAACAAGGAGATATTTCAGTCCTCTGCGGGGCCGCATTCGCAATTGATGATAGAAGTCCTTTCTGGCTGAGTTTTCCGAAAAGTTTGCTCATGTGGAAGGATCCTTTGCGATCCCCATTCTCGGGCTTTCCCAGGCAGGTCTATATCTCGTGAGGAGCGGTCTGAGGCCCTGCAGCCCTACCGCAGCCTTGACGCTGATCGTTTGAAGTTGCCTGGTACAACGACCTGGGATCCCTCTGACTAACTTGAGGATTCTCTCTATTTGGCCTTTATGGAGCCCGCGTCTCTTCAGCTTGCTTCCTTCCCTGAGCCCCGGGGCCCGCTGAGCGGTCCGAAGAACTGCTGAAGGTCGCAATGTTTGGGACGCAAAGCCTTTGCTCCGACTGTCCTTTGAAGGAGTGCGGCTCTTCAACGCCCCGATCCGCCACAGACCGCCAGATAGCGATCGACGAGGCCGGAACTGGATCGAAGGGACTGTCAAAAATCCAAGCCGTTTCCTTCCGACCGGACACTCACTGGCGAACCTCTTTCTCGACCCAGAAAAAAAAGTGCAAAAGGGAACCCAGGAACGCAGCAAAGTGGTCCTGGCTCGTATGATACGAAACGCAAACGAAAGAGTGCACCGCCTGAAAGAGAGAGGGCCGCTGTTTCGTTCAGGTTTCAGAGGCGAGCACGGGCTGGAGCAGCAGCTTTTTTTGGTCCTTGCGCTGAGCCGGCGGCATCAGAAGAAAAAGAGGCAGTGCTTGCATCGTGTGAATTCGGCATGGTGGTGCCCAAGCACGCAATCTGGGATTGCGCGCAGAACTTCGATTCTGAAAAAGCTGCAGCGGCACGTTGAGGAACAAGGACAACGCGAAGGCCACGTCCCACTTTCCACCGTCCTGAGTGGCCTGTTGCAGAGCCACAAGAAGCAGCGACAGGAGGTCGAGGGATCCCTCCACTTTGCCAGTCAGGTTATTTGAGTTGTTAGCTGCGTTTTTTTGGGTTTCACAGGGCCGGGTAAAGAGGACTGGGGGAGCTTCCTCCAGCTCCGGCGCCTCCTCCTCCAGAACCTCTGCCTCGTCCTCGCGGTGTAAAAGCCCAACCGGTCCGCTTCGACGGTTCGGAGACAGCTCCACGCAAGAGAAAGGGAGCAACTGCCCCCATCTCCGGAAAGTGCTCGGGGTCGAACGGAACAACGGCTGTCTCTGAGGAGGGGTCGTAGACACTCGTGTGCTGCAAACCAGAGACGTCGAGGTCTACCAAGGAGCACCGAGATGGTCTCGCCCGTGGACCTCTCGGAGCCATCCTCGCCCTCCTCCACCGAGTAAACCGATGGCCGTTTCTCGGATTCAGCAGATTTCGGAGGACACTTCCCGAAGGCAGGGCCACCAGGAGGCCATCATCCCTCCGCAGCACCAGTGCGCAAAGAACCTGAGCTTCGCGATCTCGAGGGATCCCTCCGACAGGAGCTCGGACCAAGTAGGGAAAGAGCAGCCCGCTTGATGCAAAAGTCAGCTCGTCCAAATCCATCTTTACTGTGAAGGGTAGTCCTGGCCGGCGGTCAACCAAAAAGTCGGGCCTCGCCCTCAGCGGGTCAGCCGTGGCACACAGTACCTGGGAGTAGCTGGCCCATGTCAGCCTTGAAAGTGCTGAAGGAGCTGTACACCGCAGAACCACGTAGATCCTGCTCTTGATCGAGATATCGGGAGTCGGCTCCACCACGTCCCTTTCGCCGCATAGCACGCGCCCGGCTGTTCCAAGCCCTGTCGACTCGGCTGTGCCGCACAGGATTCCGCACAGGTGCCAAGGAAGACACCGGAAACACTAAGTCGACTGGCACACTACGAGGAAAGGCAGGCGTGGACTTAGGCACGGAGCTAAACCGAAGAGGGCGAGGGCTCCTGTTTGAACCACTAGGGAAGCTCGGCGGGGCCCGGCACTCGTCGTGCTTATGTTCGGGATTCGGCTGGAAGGCCCGAGGCAGGGCAACAGCAGCCACCTGAAGTTAGGAAAAGGCCGAAGTGAGGGAGTCCAAATGCAGGCCGATCACTCATGCAGGTACCCTTGCAAACGGGAGCGACGCCTGATGACAGGCTGAGCAGGAGTAGGCTCAGGAGCAAAGGCAGGAGGTCGAAGGAAGAGGGCCTCTTTGAAGACCAAACGGACACCTGGAGCCCCGAAACCGAATCCCGAAGGAAACACAGCAACCAAGGCCACCAGAAATGCAAAGCAATGGGCAGGACACCAAAGACCCCGCCAACCGCGAGAGGCCCCAGAAGACAAAACCCAATCACCTGGGGACCCAGCTAGCAACCATGCTTGGGAGCCACGGAACGAACGAACAATCGACCTTACTATAGTTCAGTTACACTAGGCCTGTGTTACAGGGATGGCACACACACACACACGCGTGCGCGCGCACAGCTGAACACACACACACAGAGACACACACACACACAAACAAACAGAGAGACACTCACGCACACGCATCTATCCGTGCCGACCTGGGTGACGGCTTCGGAGACTTCAGCGACCGTCACGATTTTGAAGCTCTGCTCGGGAACTACATCAAGCAAGTCCTCTTGCAGGGGCTATGGCTGAGGCCTCTGGGACTTCAGGTAGTCGTGTATTTAGATACTTCCCTCTCTCCCTCTCTCGCCATCTCCATCCTCCCACCAAGATGCTGATGAAATAAGTTCGCTGAAGCTGTCCAACATCGTGAAATTGTCGTGGTGATCCGACATGACAAGATCCGAGACGCAATCAAACGGAGCAGAGGCAAGGCCGCACACGGAAGTCAAAAGAGCCAGAAAAGCGCGAAAGTTGATTCTCGAAGCCTTCTCAGACCCTCACCTCGACAGTCCAAAACCCCGAGCATTCCGAAACTCCGGAATCCTGCTCCTCGACCTGGTCGCTGCCATCCACTACCAGCTCTGTCATGCGGACGTAGCGGTTGAAGAAGGTGTTGTGCAAGGCAATCTCCCCAGTTCTGAGTCGGCTCGGGGCTCAGAACTCGGAGGCAGCATTCTTCAATGCCATCACACACACACACACGCACAAGACACGAACATCCGGTTGGGAACAACAACGAACCCCAAACCCAGGGTGCCAGCCAAGATTCGGGAAATATCTCACCGCGAAAGCCTCGCCGGTAGCATTGGCAGGGACGTCGCTGCTGGCCATCGGGACACTGGTCTCCATGTCCGCGCCGTTCATCGTCACCTTACATGCTCAGTCACCGCGGAACATGCTCCATCTTTGCTGTTGCAACGTGTCATACCTCAACTCCCTACCTCAGCTCACTTGAATCAGGAATCCGCACAGCCACCCCAAAGCCAAGTTGCAAAGCGGTTGTGCACAGAGTTGTGGAGCGCGATCTTCCCATGCCCAGCATCGACCACGGTGAAGCGCTCCCAGGTCCAAGAATCCGGAAGCGCGTCCTCTGAAGGCTCAGCCGGAGGTCTCGGTAACGAACTCTTTTGTTTTGCTGTCTTCTCATTTCTTCTGAAGGGTTGGGCTTAGGCACTGCGCCGGTTAGCTTGGCTGTCTTCTCCTTTCTTGCAACACTGCTCCTGACAGCAAGACACGATGCGAGGTCTGGGCCCAAGTAGCCAGTCCCAAGCCCCCACAAAACGAGAAACCTGGATCTATGCCTGCAGTGCCAAACACGATGATGAACGCCCTATAGCAAATGATCTTTCTCGTTGACCGACTGAGGCAAGAGCCACGTTCATCGAGCTGCTGCTTTCCATGTCCGCCTCCACCGATCAAGTTCTTGAACATTGGGCTTAGGATATACGTCGGGAGGACAAAGCATCACCGCCGCCTCACTCTGGCCATCTGCATCCTTTCTGCCGGTCTCTCTTCTTCATCTGTCCGTTTCTGTCTACCTCTCTTTCTCAGCCGCTGTCGCTATTCTATCGCCTTTTGTCTCTCTACCGATCAACTTCTCCCCGTTTGTCCGTGTGGCTGTCTGTCCCGTCTGTCTGTTTCTCTGTCCGTCTGTCTCTCTGTCCGTCTGTTGTCTGTCTGTGTGCTTGCTTGTCTGTCTGCCTGCCTGGCTGCCTGCCTCCCTCCCTCCCTCCCTCCC